TATTTATTTTTGATCAATCAGGAGTCAAAAACTCAAAGCGGAAGTTCACTGTGTTTCGAACGATTTGAGAAGTTGATTTCAAAATCGAAATGAGTCGAAAGTATCCAATGTCTTTGATGTGTTCTGTTGTGATCCAACTAATGTGTAAAACAGGACAYGTTTTGTGATGTTTTACACAAACACACACTCATGCACACACACATTGCTGCTTAAACTCAGACATTTCTGGGTAAAAAAAAAGGCATTTTTAAGCTTCCTGTCTGACAGTTGCTCTGTGTTCCTGCAGAAAAAATAAGTGCTTGAAAAGAGAATACTGAGAACTAGTCTTTTAGTACAAATTTACTTATTTATAGAGAAATTAGAATTATTAACAAGACTGAGTATTCAGTAGAAACAATCAAATAAAATGTATGTTGCAGTAGTAAAGAGAAAGGAAAGGAAAATATTGTATTTTATTGTATTTTAGAAGACACACAAAGAGGCAACATTTGAGGAAATTATAAAATTCTGTTTGAACACTCTGTGCACTGCTGTATAAGGCCTTATTAAACACTGTAGAAAACCAGCCAATAAGTGCTAAATTGCAGCAATTTTCTGTTAATCCTCAGCTTGTTGAAACATTAACACCCCACCAGCGTTCTGTATCAAACACAAACAGATGAAAACTGCTGGTTCAACTGGGGATTCAAGTGAACACCTGCAGCTGCTGGGCAGCTGGGCCATCTGAGAATATCTCCCATGCAGACAGCTGGAAAGTTGACTATGCTTGCGTATCTGCTTTTTTTTCTTTTTGTTAATTTATTTATTCCCCCCCTCCCCTAAACTTTACCTTCATCTTGAACATACCAGCTGAGAACAAGACAAAAGAGACCTGCTGATTTGCTGCTGATGCCAGCAATAGAGAGGCGCAAAGCAGCAGAAAATGCCAGAAAAAATCACAGAATTTTTTTAGGGAGGGGATTAAATTTGTCTACAAAGAGCAGCTTGTCTTTGTACCTGAATGAAAAGTCTACAAACAAATGATTCACTTGGATAAATGACATAGCTATCAATTTATAAAAAAATGAAAAACAAAAGCCTTTCAGACAATCAAATGCATCTGACTAAATCACTTTATTGTGCAAAGGATAGATTCAATTTTCAAAATACAGACATGTTTTTCTACGAATCCTTGAGTAGGCGGAGTGTTTGTAGTTAATAATCAGACTTCACCCAAAACACAGTGTAAATAACACTTTAATGCCAACAGTATTGCAAAACAATTCTCACCTTAACAGGATTATTATTTTTTTAGTTGTTGTTAACAATAAAAACGAACCCTATCTATTATTTAAATATGCACATTTTTCCCCCCAAAGACAGTATAAAATAGACTTGAGACTGTTTTTATTAAGGCACAGATGGCATTTTACTGCACACCGCAGAGCACACACACACCATTAACACACGCAGGCACCATTAAAAAGAGCTCTGAACTCTTTTAGTGGTGCCTTTTACATACACGTTCTCGGGATTCATATTATTTCAGGAGTGGGCCTTTTGATTTCCAGGASTCTGGGACACGTGCACGTGCGGGCAGATCAGAGATCCGGTGTCCCCTCGCAGTGCGGTGTGGCAGCAGCAGCAGCTCTGTGCATTGGAAATGAAATTATGGGATGGATGCTTGTCAGATATTCCTTAATGAGGTTGTTTTAATGAGTAAATGGAGACACATTTAGAACAGTTTGTGCATCACGTCATTTAACTCCTGCTCTTAGGACGGAAAGTGCCCACTGTGTGCCGGCAAACTGGCAAAAACAATCGAAGCATGTTTTCTTTCAAATTGAGAAAGTTGTTTGCTGTTGATTTGAAAGCTGTCCTCTGAAGATCAGCATGGTTTGACTCTGCTTTTGTTGTCTTTAAACATCTAATTATGATGCTTTTTCAGGGTGATTTGTGCAGTCATAACAAGGATGATAGTTGGCAGGTAAAATGGGATGCTTTGTTTTGGTTACATGTTAACCACAAGTAAAGAGTTTGTACGAAGAAAGATGAATGCCACTTTAACAACCAAAATTAACCCATTTTGGTTAATTGAGCAAATAAAAAGGAACCAAACATTTTTATCACAGATTCACTTCATGTTCTGCACATGTGTGAATCTGCTGCAGTGCACTGTATTTATTAATTTAGCTCCAAAAATATGTTTTTTTCTTTTTCACTTAAAAAAATCTAAATCTCTGTGCTTCAAATCAGTGCTTAAGAATAAATAATGTAGCTTCTATAAGTAAATTAGCAATTTTACCTTGAAACATCCCTCACTGAGTTAGACTCAAGTACTTTCAAGAATTTAACTTTAACTTTTTCTAAGGATCTAACACAGAGGTGCCCAAAGTGGGGCYCGCGGGCCAAGATTGGCTCACCAAGCTATTTGATTTGGCCCACCAGCAGTTGTCCTGGTTATTAGATTGTAATCTCTTGTCCTATAGAAACACCGTATTTCCACTTTGCAACCATTGGTCCAGCTWTAGGTACAAGGAGCTGAAGTCAAATAGTCTTAAGTCACTTTATCTTTGAATTATGTTAAGATTAAATATAAAATGCGAGTAACTACAAGAGACATTTAGATTAGATTTAAGCACATGTCTAAATTTGCAAACCTTATAAGACCACATATACTCAAATTTTAATTCATGAAAGGTCCCATGACCCTTTGCTTCCCAAGCATATGTTGAATTTTCTCCATGTCCATATGCTGAAAAAAAAAGAATGTGGGCAACCGCACTGGCTGCTGGCTTATTCATAAATGGAAATAAATAATAATAAAAATAAAACAACTTTACTTAAGAAGTATTTGCATTTCATGTATTATACTATTCCATTTGGCCCGGGGCCCTCAGATTGATTTTAATTTTGGCCCTCTCAGGGAAAATGTTTGGGCACCCCTGATCTAACATTTCCTTTTTTTACCGGGGCGGCTGTGGTGTAGTGGTAGAGCAGCCGGCTTGGGACCCGAAAGTCTTAGGTTCGACTCCCCGCCATACCCACATGTCGTGGTGTCCTTGAGCAAGACACCCAACCCCAACTGCTCCCCGGGCGCCTCACATGGCTGCCCGCTGCTCCACTTGGGTGTGGATGGGTTAAATGCAGAGCACAAATTTCGTCATTGTGTGGAAACATACACTGATGACAAATAAAGCACCTTTACCTTTTACCTTTAAAGGACAACATAAGGATGTAAGCACAGTCTGAAACCCTTAAAATGGCTTCCAAACATACAACCTAACAAAGTTCTAAACTTTCGTCTTGAACTTGAAAGCCATTAAGCGAGTCAATCTGCTCTGCAGAGCTAAACATCAACAATACAGTCTGTGATGAGTGAGAAATAATTAAAAGTTCTCAAAATGTGCTGTTTGGACACCAAGTTTGAGCTGAAATATTCCATGAATTTCTATACCTCATTCTTCATCCCCCTTCCTATTGAAGCCAGTGTGTGGACTCACATTGTACTCTTCCAAGAGATTCTGACAAGACTTTCAACCTTCCTTTTTTATTGCAGATGAGCAAAGTACATTGATATGCATCAGAGTGGGGGAAAAAAACCCTTAGAAAAAGGTGTCTTTTGCTCTCGACTCATTTTCTCCCGGTCCCCGTTATGGGTGAAATTGCCTTAAGTGTGATTGTGAGTGCGAATAAGCCTTTCACAGCATTATTTTTATTCAAGCTGTTCCCAGGCAAACCTACAGGCACTTCCTTCTGGGTCTGAAATGACGCTCAGGGGCCCACTCACTCAATCTAATTTCTAATGTGACTGTGAGTTTAAAAGGAAATGCATACTGAATGTCAGGATTTATCTCTGATTTCAATGGTCCAGACCTCTCTATTTCACTCCTAGAACCTCTTTCCATAGATTTGATTCCAAATGAGCCCTGCTAATTTCATGGGGCTGCAGTAATGCCCACATTTTTTTTGTCAGCAAAGCAAGGAGGCATAACCTGCATTGGAATAAAACCACCTGCTGCTCGGCGGCACTTTTACAAACTCTAGAAATCTTTTTTCTCCTGATGTCAAACTTCTGAAGYGGTTGTGTTAAAGTTCTGTGCTTGCTTGAGTCACCTCTGGCTTCAGTCAAACAGTTGTGCGGTGACCCAGCTAATTTGCACTTGAATGGAGGGAGACAATGATGCCGAGGAAA